TTGTGTATATAAATGATTTAAGAAGGATTCATACTGCGTGATGTGTTTTCGAAATCAAATTTCTGTGTAGAGACCCGCTCATGACGACTGTGATACGTGGTGCTAATTTCGATGTGTGTAGTGATGTGCCAATTTTAAGCCAGAAGCCAAATATTTACCCCAAAGTCAGTAATTATCTGAATGAACATTATTTCTGAGACATCTGGTGCGGTAGTTTGTTTATCATGTCTCTAAAGCTCATCGTGATTCCAATCATCATCTGATGTGCTTTAACGCGTGTATTTTGAACATCTCTTACTTTAGTTTTGGACACTCATCTTAGTAGTATTGGGCATCATTAGCTAAAAACTTAGGCATATACTCGTAAACACACTTGTCTTTCACAGTTATTATTGAAGCAGTCTCACAGTAAAAGGCTAATATCGTCGCTCACTTTAATACACCATGCATCGGAATGCCTTCTGCTTGATCTCCATGCACAAATAATTTGTCCTTCGAACACCACAAAATGTAATTCCACTGCACCACCCAAGTACCAATGTGGCTACGTTTTGAGTGAATTCGTTACGATAAAGTGTTTCCATTGACGTCATCAATTGATGTTGATGGCGTCAACCACCAATTCGGTCTTTTATCGCTTCTTACAGGCGTCCCATTGTGTTTATTTGCAAAAGTTATCGTTGTTTTTTAATATTCTCTCGCCAATAAACGCTTACTGAAGCTCACATATCATACTGCTGACCTCAGCCTTTTGTAAGATAGTTTATTTCTCAGAATTTAACGAGTAAATAGTGCCACTTCTAAAATCGTTTACAAAACTCGACCGCATCACTGAGCAGGTTAGGTTGGTAGTCCTTTTCCCTAATCACTCCGTTAACTTGCGATATTCATTTCTGTATTCACTGTTAACATTAAGCACATTCCCAAAGCACACATTTAAATAAAGGGCTGAGTTTCAATCCAAAAATACTTTGCTTATTCGTCATATTTTTGCACTGAAAATAGTTTTTTAATCTGCAAGGCAGCTATTTATTTGCCCTTTCTATGATTTTACTAACACCTGACACAGGTAAGAAACGCAGAGGCTAGTTTTCGGGTTTTTGTCGAGTTTTATATTGCAGACGTTGGCGTCTCGTTGTCTTTACCTGTCTGGCTCACGTTAAAACAGTTGTTTTTAACTTCCTGAGAAATTTGCTATGTACAGTGCGTTTTGTGAACTCAGTGCGTGTTCAAACGTCTGAGTGGTGCGTTTTAGTGGTGATCAAGAAACAGTCCACGGGACCATGAATCCACAACACGGATCCACAAAGATGTCCTGGGAGAGCGCATTGCGTCCCTCTGGCTTGACCCGTATTCAACTGAAATCGACGGAACAGTGTGATCGATATAGACGCACAAAGCACATTTCACTAGACATAAACTGAAGTGAAATTGTTAGGCATCACAGCTGTTCACCCACGTCTAGTCATCGTATCTTCGAACCGTTTTGGCAGCATCTCAAGTGAGAGAAAAATGGGGACATTATCTCTAAAATATACAAGCGATTACCAAAAGTATAATATACAAAAATGGTGGCATCCCTTAACTGGTTTACATCTATTTCTTGGTCCGAGATCTGTAATATTGCGTCTTTATTGGGATGAAAATCTTGTAAGGACTACAAGCATAAGCACTTTAGATATTTCAGTCTTTGTTTTTTGCTAGCATTTGTTATGTCTTACCTTATTGATTTTGTTAAATGTCCAAGTAACAAGTGACTTTTAAAGTGAATTGCGTTTTAATTCTTTCGAAATGCGTGAGATTAATTGTAGCAAAATGGCTGAATATTAGTCCAACATTAGACCCGATATCCAATCAGTTTTTTTATACAAGACAATGGCATAGATTTAAATATTTTTAAAGTCATCGGGCAAAAATATATCACCTCAGGGCACATATTCAGACTCATTCGTTTGAAGGAAGCAATCTATGGACTGTTACTAAGTTAATTAAATTAACTTGTTTATTCGCCAACCAAGGCGATCCTGGGATTTTTCGGATATCAATTTCTTTCCAAATTTTTGGTTTACAATGCAACAGATCCCAACTTTCAAGGCAGGCAGATTTAACTGCCACAAATAAAAACACTTTCTAATCAGCAGGTACTTATAATGGTCTACGTATCTAGTCTTTTTCAATTAGAGAAATTTAACTCGTTGTAAATGGTTTAAAATTAAAATTTTTCTGTTGATGATTATGGGTGGAAAACACTCAAGTCATAAAACCACACCAAAATAAGCTATAGGTTACATTTTCTGTTTTTTTAATTGAAAGTGCCAAAGCGTACGCATCATTCTAGCTTGATAGACCTAATTACGCTATTAAGTTCCCCAACGGCGTCTTGAAGAGTGACGTTGCCTGACCACGTTATTTTGTTGGCAGTAGAACCATGTTCCTCCCGCGCAGCTTCTAATTGAATCCTCTCACTGATCTGCCCTACAATTTGCAAAGTCATTAATTTCGGTCTGCCCATCCTCGTTTGGCAGTATGGATCTTGGCGAGTCGCTTTACGAATTTTGTCACCACGTCTTCACCACTGACAGTCTCATGAAGAACTCATTTAACACATCATATTGATATGAGACATCCATTATTTAAATGTTACTAGCACGATTATCAGGCTTGGCTGCAAGTTTCGTCAAAGATGTGGTTGTTAAATTTGTGATTTCCTTATCATTTAATCAATCTCTGAAATGCGAGACAGAATTGATCACGCGTAATCGGTCTTCTTTGAGGCTTTTTCTGAAAAGGCCATCGCTTAGGCAAAAATATAACCCATCAGATTTGTACTACGATTTATGGAGTTACTTGATTTACTTTTATTTGTGGCTCAAATTTGAAAGATTCGCTAGTACATTTTGGGAGACATCCGGACTTGCATCCATTGTTAAAATAGACGATGCTTCTCTACTATCCTCAAAAATGGATATATGCAAGTCTTCGTAAGCATCACTAAAAATGAACTGACGTTTGGACGTTGTGCTGTTTTTACTTACAAGGACATTGTGCATGGATAAAATTTGCTTGCTTAGAGTAGGGAAATTTCATTTATGCGTTGAAAATGCTGCTAGGAAACACTATGCCATGGCTCTTTCGTCTCGTTGCCTTCGAAGGCATGGAATGAGAGCACATTTAACACCTTACATAACCCAACTCGTATTACTCAGTTTAGTGTTTTGAAACAGCGTAAGTACTACTGACTAATCCACTTCTTAGCTTATCTCTACTGCGTATCATTGTCAAATCACCAATAAAGTTAGAGTAGATCCCAAAGTGAATTAAAACCTAGTCGAAGGATTTTATTCCCTCAAATATGTTCATTTTTTGGTATAATGTTCTTGCCGACCTCCAGGTTAGTGAAATTTTTTTCCATTAGGGAATTCAGTGTAAAATATATGCGGGCCAAGTTAGATTTCACACGACACGCCTTTTCAAATGAGCTCCAATTTTTTTCGCTGATTTGCCTTTGGTATTTAAAGCCTAGTGCAGTTACATTTGGAGTTTTTCTGTCGTTTTTCGGCTTCTTTTACAGGCATTACCGACGAGCAGTGCACTCGTTTTCTGTGGTTAAAGTCACTTTTAGTCTAGAAGATCGCCTTCCTTAGAGTTATTCAATGCACTTGGCCCCCAAATTGCACATAAGTCTGTAGAAATACCCACTAAGGTCCTAATTTAACACCCTAGTCCGTATCCAGTTCGAACTTTTAATTAGGGAAACCAGTAAAACCCTAAATTGACGTTTGGGGCACTTTACGTGCTGGTGATGATTTGTTAGTAAGCTTTTGTGCGCCTTCCGAATTTCCGTTCGTTGCTTTTACATAATTCCTTTTACAAAACAATGCCTCCATAATCTGCACTATTGGCACTACTCACCACTTAGGTCTTACTTTCTATAGCAGTTTCCTTCTTGCTGTCCAAGCTGATTTTGTAGTTCGTTAATCAGTACGACCGCTTTCTTTGACTTGATAACAGAGGAAATCAAATCGAGATTTTCTCCCGAGGTTTTCATTAATGCTTACTCTCGTGGCTGCTTTGCGTTAACACAGTGACAGCGCTCGAGACAAATCATATTCAGCTGCCATTCCCAGCCACCTTGGTTTATTTGGTCAATTTGTAACGTTTTGAAGCACCCATCACAAAAAGTAAACCTGCCATTTCTAGGACAAGCATGATGCTTTGGCTGATTTATATTTAAAACATTTTGTAGACCAGAATTCCTGTCTGGTGCGTTGGACACTCCACAATTGAATCACCCCTAGAACATGAAGTTTCAGGCGAATTAACATCTCCAGTGGATAGTTCTGAAGCCTTAAGCACTGTTCAACAATCAAAATTCCTTCCTAACCTCACTATACCATCCACGGTGGTTTCGAAAGCAATTTCCAGCTTTGAATTGCCTCTAGAAAATTCAAAAGAAATATACATCCCAATGCAACAGATTAGCAAGAATGATGCTGATGAATGTCATCCAATGAACTCTTTTTCCGTCGAAGATTTTCACCTGTGTGGTACTGGTAATATTTTAAAAAGTACCAATAAAAAAAAGTCCAATAACCGGGTTCCCTCGAAGGAGGCGAAATTGAAAAATCATCCTGGATCGTATTGTGAAACTACAATCGAGAAATCTTCTCAGGCATGTAAGTATTCCTGTTAGTATTTAGCGTGATTGAATAGGAATCGTGGGTCATTTCGATTTCAAACATTACTTATCATTTTTCAAGGTGTTGGAATATCCTTTAATCGCATGGAATGGTGTTTAGTCAGTCATTCACCCATGCCAAAATTTCTATCACACTGCTCTCAGTTATTATCCTACTCGTTATTAAGTTAACCCATTGCTTGTAAGCAACCAAAAACCATTCACTACTTTGTATGTGTCGTCGTTAGTCACACAGTTCCTAAACGTAGACCACCCTATGTTTTCTATCAGTGTTGTCGAATTTTGATTAGTAGATGAGGCAATGTCCAAAGAATTGCCCTTCGCACCACACCTCCAAACTGAAACCAACAATCTGCTCCATCATCAAAACTCCTCATCCTTTACTGCGCTTCCCATGGCTCAGTCGGCCTGCCTGAGGCAGGATCCGAAGTGCCAGGCCACTGAGAGTTCCTTCACAGAGGTCTCCTGCCCCCTGGATGCCCCGCCGGTTGAATTTGAGGCGGCAGCGTTTGAGGCGAATGATCCTGTGAGGTGGAAATTACTCGAGCTTGTCAGAGAGGAGTTGAAGCAACTTAAGGCAACAAAGGCTGCTTACGTCTCGAAGAAGCAAGTCATTCGACAATTGAGGTCGCTGCTCGAGCACTTCGACAGCCTCCCGACGCTAGTAAGCTCAATGGTTTTTCAACTTTATAGTCACTGATTGCAGAACAGGATAAACTTTGCCGTAATTAATTATATCCTTGGCGTGTCCTTCTCTGGATTAAATGGGCATGCAAGCCGGTTGTTGATGCTTGTAGTGCATGCTTGAGACTGGTGACGTAGGGCAAGTTGGTTGTAGGTGGACAAACAATGAGGAGTCTAATGGCCGTTTCATTAACTTCTTGTGCCATAGGCAGGCGTGATGACGTCAGTGACTAGGCACACTTGCAGTTGGGAATCTCTTATTAGTGTTGTGCGAGCTTATTTTTACGCTGCGAATTGCCCTTTCAAACGGGTCTCTTTTCCTTGCAAGCTTTCAATAAAATGTTCTGCAGACTGAAGCAGGCCTGTCGCATTTACTTGTGGCTTTTGTGCTCATGTTTAATGTTCCAACTTAAACATTATTTTTGTCATTTATTAGTTAATTAAGCTCATAACTGGCTCTTGATCTGGTCCTCTACTCAGAATAATTTTTCCCACTTAAGAGTTAGAGCGAACCAAATCATCTTTAAAACTGCCAACGGCAAATAAGGCTTTAAACGAAGAAGGCTAAACTTCATCACTGCTCAAGTCGTACATTTACTTACTAGTTGTCAATCTTGGCACTGACAAACTGTCTATCAGCTTCCATTGACAGAGATCATCATTAATACGAACTCATTCATTTGCACTTCTTTGATGCTAGAGAACCAAACATTCATATGTGAGAAAGCAGCAATCTATAATGCTGGTATAGCCTGTCTTTATTAAATACTCAAAAACGGTTACCAAGACCGATAGCATATCTGATTTTGGTCGATTACTGGACCTGAATTTGAATTAGATGAATACGCTCAAGACGTTTTTTCTTAACACCTTCCTCTTTCTCTCTGGCCTCGATTTCCTTCTTCAATTCTTCAATTTTCTCAATGTTCTCTCTTCTCTCAATTTCATCATTGATTTCCTGTATAATAGAATAGCATGTACCTCCTTTCGTCTGCTCCACGTCCCCGAACTGGTGATAGCGCATAAACTTGTCCCCTCTCAAGACTTTTCTTGGGACATTAAACTGCCAGCTTCTTCTTGTTCAATCTTTACAGAGGTTGCGGTGAGGAATAGCCTCAATAGTGACCTTGTCGCTAGCGACACGGGGATTAAGTGCCCTCCCATCGGCAGTCAAAAAGGCAAGGCTTTGCTTAAAAAGAGTTAAAGTGAGAGCAACCAAAAACACAGTTGTCTTCATTTTGACAAATGATGCGATCATTGTGCCAAAACATGTCATGAATTGCACGCGATCGATGACTCCATGATAAAGTGTGTAGTTTAGTGATTTCGTACTAGTTTTTGGTTTTTCTCATGAATCGAGGTCGCCTGCACTGACTCCAATATTTGCCGGCATTTTGTCAGAAAATACTCCCACTTTTAGCGGTCTAAAATAAATCGAAGGATTAAAGGAACTTCAAAGTTATTATATTTGCCCATTTTGTATGCAGAAGGAAATTTCAGCAAGTAAATACTTATCAGTGTGTCTGTTAAGTGTAACTCTTGTTGATCGTGTTAAAATCAAGCATCAACCTTTTTTACTACATGATGAAAATGTCTGTTAAAACTTTAAAATATTCAAAAAACCTGCCTTTTTACCACATTATTAACAAAATGGGTGAAATCGCACTCTAGTTTTGGACTTCAGGTAGAATCACCATTATCAGTGAATCAGCATTTAGTGCTTGTGACCACTACAAGTTGACTTTATCAGTCACGTTTCCGCATCCCGATCCCCTTTTATTTTAAATTACCAGCTTAAAATCCAACCACCTTACACTTTCCCACTTGCGACACGTACTGCGTGCAGTGATTGTGGCAAGCCTTGCTCACATGCTTGTCTCTCTTTCAAATTCGAGTGTGTGCATTAGGCTAGCATCGTTCAGCCAGTTGAACAGGCGATTGCGCACTCTTAGTAAAGATAAAGGCCGAAAAATCAACCCCTAAAGACTTGGTCCTGGATTTAATGCAACTCGTTGTTTAAATTACGCGGTGAGCTCAATATCTTATGTGGTCCCTAAAGTGCCGTATTTCTCATTCTAACGCAGCTAAAGACCAATATTCAATCTTTCTTAACTGTATTCATGCGTTCAAGTGCAAAGTCACATGTGCCTTTTAATCTCCTACCCGTTTGTTTTGTGGTAATTAATTGATGAACTCAATTTTAGCAAATGTAGATAAAGTTTGTATGTCAATATGCTATTGGCCAAGTCAAGTGGGCTTGCCACCTTACCAACATGTCGGTACGCATTCTGACTAAAGGGTGCTTTGAACTGTCGATTAATTTTTTTACCCGTTTAGCTTTAAGTGTCAAATTGTCACCCTTGTCTTTGTGACCACCTTAATATCTTTTTTATTAACCCTTTCAGAATGAGCTAAAATCAAACACGCTATCAGCTAAGCGTACGACTGCGGGGTGCAGACCGACCTCTCCGCGTCAGTGCGAACCTTCAGAGTCCATCCACGAGTTTTCATCACCACAAGTGAAGTCTCACAATAGCAATCCCCTCACACCTTTCGCCTCACCCGCTCCCACATCACAAACACGGTGGCAGTCTTACCCGCAGTTTTCCCCCTTCAGTTTACCTGAGCTAAATACTAACTCCAGATCTTGTGTAGCTGGCACGCAAGCCTTAGAACCCTCCAAATCCCTCAGAACACGCAATCAGCCACGGACCTCAGGCATTACCGCAGTTGGTAAGTAAATATTACCACGTTTTGAAGTATTTTTTTCCATAATTCTGTAATAGAAGTTAGTTTCTACTTTCTAAGGAGACACCGAGAAATCAAACAGCTTTAGATAGGAAATAATATCAAGCAAGATTTAACTGATGAGCTTTTAATGATTATACAGCAGAGATATTCCGATCGTCAATATCAAAGAAAAACCATTTTCTGCAGTCGCAAAAGCTACGGTTTAGAGAACGCTATAGTCATCAGTTGGTTGCAAGACCTAAAAGTTGCCGAAAAGGCAAACGGATAAAGGCGAATATGATGTTTTGTTAACTTTCTGGACCCAATTGAATGCTAGACCAGAGGTGTTAACCAGTCAAGCATAAAATTGCAAGGCAGGAGAAACGTTGCCAAGCTCTAACTGATAATTAGCCAAGTCGATTCTGACAGAGGCTGTATGTGCATGTTATGCTAAGGGTCTAAAAATGTTTCTTATCAACTCTTCAAGGGCATTCCTGAATTCGAACTTCCGTGGAAGATCCTGGGCACTTTTTGACACGAAATCAACCTGATGAGACAAAGTAAAGAGTGCCAGGACAAATATCAGTCTATTCCGCAGTGGAATAAGAAAATGACACAAATCATTACATGCAGATCTTTCAGACCTCCTTTGCGTGAACTCATGGCGGTAGCATCCTGAAGGAGCCAACAGTCACGAACTAGTGAATAAATTAAACTCCGAAACGTAAATATGTCGATTATAGGTTTTCCGTGGGAATCAGTGGGGATGGAAATCGGATTTTTACGAATTCGAACTTTTGCGTCGAAGTGTATCCAGTGTACAAAGTCTCAAGTGATTAGTTTGGATGCAAAAAGATCCATTACTACTTGATACGGCTTGCCGTGATGTTTGCTTATTACCCATAAAATTTCCTATTTCGTGAAACAACTTTTCAGAGTCTTAACTTCCTGCCACAATTTTGTGGGAATTTGAACTGTAACGCTTCATATCATGCCCAATCAAGGTTTGATACAAAATTTAGACCATTCCAAAACCACAGGCTGCTGTAGTTTTCTGTCGATTATTTGCGGCAGACTGTTAACTCCGTTATAACCCCCTAACCCACCTCTTAGCTCTTCTATATTGCATATCCTCTAGGAAGTATTTCGGCCCATTGCTGCATCTGTTTCGCAAACAGTTCAACGTATCTTCTAGTATGCAGGTCCATAGTGTAGGAAATATGAATCAACTAGCTTAGTCGCGGATTCATAATCTATTGCATTTTCCATCATAATTTTTGGTAAATGTAAATAAATGGCTCAAACATGCTTAATTATACAACTAAGATGTGAAAGGTTTCTGTAATTTTTAAATAATAAAAATTTGTCCTTAATTAGCAAAGATGAATCGTTTTTTGGCAACCATATTTTGTCATTTTTATTGTGAAACGGGACAGTTTGAAAAAGTTTGGTATAAAGAGACAAAACCGTATTTTTTCAGGTGCACATGTTTGGGATTTGTCGTAGTGCCCATACTTACTCTTTAAGCAGGTTTTTTCATTGAGGAAGCATTTTTAGTGAACTTGTTCGGTTAACGTGATTTTAAACATAGTTATTACCTACACTTTTAAAGTGAGGATGATAAAATATCTACATCCCTTCACACACTTCATTATTCTACAAAACGCAACATAGTAAGCTGGAATTTAATTTAGTCTTGTCTTTTGGAGAAATAGATCGCATTAACCCTGAGTGATTTTTTAGTTAATTCATCCATTATTATAGCACAATGGGTCGGAAAGCATGGGCATTGTATTAGTATCTTTTCTCATGATGTAGGTTTGTCATTAGGGATCACCGGTCTCTTGGGCAACGCAATTAACCACCAACTTGAAACAGACTGGCTAATCCTTTGAAATTCTTAACCAATCGATTGTTCTTGCAGCGTTATTCATCTAAAATTAACAGCTAGGTTAGTTGGACTCGCTCAATTTGCAACTTCTGGCACGAGATGACACATCACGGCCTGCAGAAAATTTCATTAATCTTTTAGATTTTTTTCATATTATTCGGTTCTCTGCTTTGAAACTGAAAACCTCGAGAATGGTTTTTTTGCACCAAGACTACTTTTAGATTCGTCTTCATCCCAATTAATGCAGTTGTTCAGTTATATTCTGATAAACACCTTAATTGATCCTTTCAGATGTGTTTTTAGGGTGTTTTCTGTATGCTGCGTTGGCGCTATTTCATATTTTTGCCAAATCAATCACGAATTCAATGCAACGCTCACCACCAGCCTGCAAGCCCATAAATGTTCACTCGGCTTCACTTTCGTTTTCACTAATAAACAGACGCGTAGCGGCCATTTAGTAGTACCACAACGAGACTAAACTATCCGCGATTTTGCAAGTGCCGTTCGTGGCGCCGGTGGACTAGCGGACTAATTAGTAGTTTATTGCCTCCCCAGGAGTTTGACTGCCACGTCCGTTTTTCTTTCGACATTCCAAAGTGGAGGAGGGGTTTGGGCGGGTAGTTGTTTACCGCCAGTGAGTTCGCCTATTTCATGGCAAACGAGTTGACATTTCTGTCGAGCGTACGGCCCTTACCCACACTGTAATTTCCTTACTTTACTTAGATTTTTTGGGTCTATGATTCACCCCCACCCACGGACATAAGTCCATAGTATATTTAGAAACGAAAAATGTTTTTCTAATATTGTATTCACTGGTAAAATACTACTAGTATTTTCTGAGACTATCATGTAGTGCTTAAAAGGTTACCTCATTGTACAAAATTCCAATTCCATTCTGCATTTTGGATATCGGTTTTTATAATAATGAAAGTGGAAGTATTGAGAACGTAATTTTATTTACAAATCGCATCGTATATCATTATTTTTGTATAACGTAGCGAAAACTTACTTGCTTTGCTATAATGATAGTGAAACAGGATGAACTGACTTATGTAGTGTACTAGACAAAGTCAAGAGTAGTTGTTTTTTGAATAATTTTTAAACCGTCATTCTGTTTTGTGTAAATCAGCTTAAATTCGGGGCTAAGGGTACCACTTTGCCAAAGTAAATTTTCAAAAGCGTATTTAATTCCTCAATTTCAGAGCAAACTGTCATTTGCTGGTGACCAGGCTTACGCCAAGGAATTTAAACCTTCACTAAATACAGTGTTCTCCAAATCGTAAATCCGTTTTTGGTCATAAGATGTGCCACAGCAGAACTATAAGAAAGTAGACTTACGCCAAAATAAACTTATTACAAGTCATTACACGTAATGGAATCTTAAGGGCTAGTTATACCTTACATTAGAACATACAACATCTTATTGTATCGCCGTTTTCACAATTTTAATTCAAAATCTGTGCGTAAAATCAAAAGTTGAACGACTTAACTGACAAACTCCCTTAATGCACCCCAAATTTTGAAAAGCAAAATTTTAGTGGGAAAGAGAAATTATTGAGAATAGGGTAAATCAAGTAATGCATTGGTTTCGCGATTGTTTTCGTAATAGTGGTCGTCTAGTTATTTTAATTTTTTGATGGCGAGCACCCCCACCAAGCATGATAAAATTTGTGCAAATATGAGTCTTGTATAATTTTACATTTTTCCTATTTCTGAATATTATTTGCCACAGTCTGATGTTGACACTTTAAAGGTTTTTTTAACAGAAATGTAGATGAAGGTAATGCACTAAACACTAAATGGATTACTTTGTAAAAATAAGCTCTTAGGCTTCCAAACAAAATCAATTACACTGAGATTAAGTCACTCAGATGGATTTCCGCGAACTTAGTTGAAAAGATCCGTAATTTATTGATCGATCTAACATAGATTAGGGTTACTTGGCGGTTATGGGCTTTGACGTGTGAATGAAAACGTTGTGTTGGGGTATTTGGCGCGCATTGAGACGACAAGTTAACTCACTACCCTTTTTGAAAAAAAGCATTTTGTAAAATCGGCCAACTCGTCATAGTTGAGGCTATTAGAATGCAACCTAAAATTGGCCACGAATTATTCGTAATAGTCAACCAAACTACATAACCTCCCCTTAATGTTAATAAATACTTTAATTCCGATGACTTTCGTGAGATAACTTTGACCCCAAAATCACTTGTTTACAGATTTTTCCAGGTTTCCAAGCCTAAACTTCCCTGCACAGTGAAACTTGTGTATCAAATCGTCATCCAAAATCTTACCTAATTTTTTGTCTTCCTCAAATGTATGGCCATTTTGTAATATGCTTCAATTCAACTTCTGTTGTCCTCATATACTTTCTGCTGACTGTCAACTGAGCAATGATAAAAAATTACGTTAAACAGCTTTAACATTTTCTAAGTGTAAATTCGCTAACTTAATTAGGACTGACCTCATCACATCTCTTTCTCCTATATCTCATTTACCTCATGAAGCCTAACGTTGTTATGGACTTGGAATTCTCAGATTAACACCTGCTTTTAAATTGTTCTCTACACCAATTTTCAGTAGCTTTAGGCTCCTCTTTACCAAGTTACCAGCAAATTGCCATATCTTAATGCTGATTTCACACTAGAGCGACAACATAAGGGCTGCCATTCGCAAGTAAGATTACGAGAGTATCCAGGTAAAAACAAAAAAAGACTCCTGTAAAGTGCCTGTAAGTGGAATATGTCACCAGTAGAATCTTTTTTACAAATTCAATTCACATGTCTGAAGTCAGTCAAAAATAATATTTTTGCGTTTTCCGTTAGCAATGTGTAAGAGGATTTTCATTTTTATTCATCAACTTCGGACCAAGCTCTAATTATGTTGTTATTTTATGGAGCAAGTAATGACTATGCTGATTTCATTTTAGCCAGTCATTAAGGATAATAGCAGAATTGGTTTACATAGATACAAAATATAGCCTAGTTTCCCGCCATGCTTGTTCATTTTTACATAACGAAGCAGTGAAGCCGAATCGTATGATTTGTCTTAGTGGGCACTTGTTTAACAAATCACATTCATGCAAGTCAAACAGTTTTTTATTTAGAAAAAAACTAGCAATATTCAATATTCCATTTTAGTAGATAATGGGAGCCATCAGGTGCTTCCACTTGACCAGGAATCATTTCAGCGTGCTTCTAATAGGCGTGACCTTATTAAAGAACTGGATTCAGTTGTGAAAATTGGTTCTATGCACCCCCACCTACAAGAAGACTGGTCTCATTCTTTCAATTTCAACACATTGCCCAACAAGGGTTAGTGCATTATTTGACTTTGGCTTCATTGGTTTAGACTAATTCGTTAGATTAGATGCTAAAAGGCAAATTCACTCTTGTCTGAGGCCTCTACAAAGCTTGTCAGGTAATTATTCAAATTCATCATGTAGTCGGCTGACTGTGCCATTGAACGATGAGTGTTTAGCCGTTTTATTAAGGAAGGTGCAACCTAGCCACTCACCCAACCTACGGAAGTCGTCATACACTTTGAATTAGTAAATGTGATGGTTCAAACAATTATGGATATACCTGCAATCATTACTATAGGGCTATTAAACTGCTGACAGCGACATTAAGAGTCTGTGACAGAGAGTTGGCAGCTCAAACAGGTGTCCATTCTCGTTTCTAAGCCTTTAGGTGATCAAATCTAAAATTAGTGTGCCCCTCTGAATTTGGAACTCGATAAGCAACATCGCTCTGTTGCCACATGCTTTTTTGTTAAGGGAAACTGCAGTCACCTTCTTTCAAAGAAAGAACAATTACAGAACTTGACTGTTCGTTTTTCTGGAAGTATGGTCAGTGTTTAGAGTTTATGTATGGCGGTCGCTGGGACCAAGGACTTGTCTTCTAATCCTGAAAGCACTAGATCAAGGCACATCCCTGGTGCCTTTTAAGATGAAGAAAGTGGCATTTGGTTGGCATCGTCATCATTAATGACTTTCGGAGTCTTAATAGTGCAGGAAATCAGGTGTTCACCATGTTTCGTAAGTGAGATTTAGAAAGATTTACAATTTTAGAAAAAAAATGGGAGGAGAGGGAAGACGAGGCTATTTATTAACCTGTCAGACCAAACTGCGCACCAGGCTAGACGTGTAAATCACTCACGCATAGAGCAGTGAGAGCGGCGAAAGACAACCGACCATTAACCGACAATTAGTCCAGTCGATTCTGAAACGGAGCTGGTCTGTGTGTATATGGTATGTCGAGGAACACATGAATGCTTGCAACTAACACCGTCACATGTACCAGGTGCCTCCATGGTTCGGGTAAATAAGGCGCGTAACCGAAGTGAGATCATTTCTCTCTTGATGGACGGCCCCTTGCACAATGCAGAGCTCAGTAGGAAAGGGATAGATGCCCGACAGGAAACAAATTTCAGTTATTGTGGAAACAAATCTCACAAGAGTCGAATGAACAGATTGAAACATCAATCTAATGGCAGCTCCGATAATCACAGAGAGAAATTGGTTGTGATGATTAAAATTGAGGATAGTTTATCATAATTAACGAATGACTTTTGGAAGCACAAAGCATTAGACCCATTTTGTTTAACTGGTCATTTAAAATAATATACCATATAATATACCAATTACTTGCCCGTAATGCACTCTGGATTGCAGAGTTATTGTGAGTAGTACTACTTTCTTCTGAGTAATTCCTAACCTTAGCCATTGCACGTAGCGTTCATGTTGAAATAGTAAGGTTTTCGTAAGTGATGACAGGGGTTAGCATGTATGAGTTTTCCTAAAGGAGATATCTATGCCTGTCGATGATTTAGGTGTAACAGCCCGAAATTATCCCATTGCTCGCCATGCGTTCATCAACGCCAATTTGAAATAATTAGCAGAGAAGAAACAAAGATATCAGGTTGGTTAATTTCCCAAGTTTTGGTAATAAAAATCAAAGCAGGCATACTTGACTGAAGGAACAGGGTTCTGATAATCACTCAATTAAAACAATGCCAAATCTTGTGCTTGCAGACGGTCCTGAGAGGTGGAGATTCTGGTTTTAAGGGACTTTCTGAGAAAATGCACCTCGAATTTCTTAACTTTTCCCCCCTTTAAGACATTTTTTCATCATTTGGTTCAAAAATAAGGTTAACTAAACTCTAGTACGATGATTTTGGCTACCCTTAAAGAGGCATAATTTGGATTTGATGTTTTTTCATTCTAACTTACAAACACAAAAGACATATTAAAGCTAGACTACTGCAAACACATAATAATAGTGTTGTACTAATCGTGAATCGATTCAGATTATAACAATGGAATTTAGCGCATACTGTCGCTGTATTTCGATCCCCTGTAGTGATGCTGGTTGGCTAAAAATTTCAGTCCGGATGTAATGGCCGAACCTGATGACTTCTTTCCAGCTCAGCGGTTTAACCAAAACAACATGATATTCACACACTTTTGATGGTTATGAAAGCCTTTGGACACCCGCGGGATTTTCAGTTGACGTTCAGCCCTAATTTACCATCTCATAGCCGAGGGTTCACGGCTCCGTCTGTCATTGGCAGTAGGCTGTTCCTTTCCATTGCCGGTCACCCAGGAGGTTATTATCATGACCGTTTTAGAGTTTCACGTCCTAACAAGTTCTGTCGCCTTACCAGTGACCTTAAGCGCTTCTAGACTCTACAAAAATGCCTAAAACCATTGTGTAATGATAGTATTACCAACTAAATATGTGATTCTGTGCGTGTCATAATTTCAAGAACTCAGAACTCAGTGAGAGTAATTTGTTGACTATCCAGAGGTCTTTTTCTCGCTAATTTCTACTTTGTTTTCTAGAGTTTCTACCCAGTGTCCTTGAAGCCAGTAACAAAAAAGAAATGCTTCACTATCGTTGGAAGGATCATCGAAATTCCGTCGGGTGCGAGTTAAACGAGGCAACTCAAAAAGTAGCCCCAAAGAAGATAATGAAACAACTCAACTCAGGACGGAATCTCCAATCTGATGTCAAAAAAAGCCATTCCGCTGCCGACGGACCCAGCAAATACATCATGTTAGATCCAGCTAAAACCTCTACAGGTTTGTACTTCATTTAAGCACGCAGGTTGTCAAATGCCTAAATATCTTCTAGCCCAGATCACTTCGAATGTACCTAATTTTCGTTTTCCCTTTTCCATTTTATGTTTTTCCAAACATGGTCATGTCAGGATTGAGTGTGGCAATAGAATGCTAGAAAGGAGCATGCTATTTATCTTAAGTCAAACTTGCCAAACTAAATTTTCACGGAATCAGCTCTGCAGATCGGCGCATGTAGTTGATTTTTTATGGAAGTCTTCTCGTGTTCAGCCTATAATTTAAAAAAATGCTGCAAAAATTTAGTGTCTGGCGCTCAGAATCGTTGTGTTGGCAAGACAGTGATCTTGCTTCCCATGAATAGCCTAGTGTTTCTTTTGAAGCGTTATTATCGAAGTCACGTTGTTCCACATTTTAACATTTGATAAACCTAACTTGAAGCTTGCTTTAGAAGCAAATTACCCATAACATTGTTTTCAGCTTTCAGTTTAAAAAAATAGCACACGAAAGAACGTTTTTCCCTTAAAGGGAATAGTCTTGTAAAGTATTGACCGTTAACCAACGTTTTAGTCGACCCAATGACGTTGATGAGGACCAAATCAAGACCACAATTAAATTGGATAGCAGTCAAGTAACAACGCAATAGCTTTCAACAAGGTTAAATATATGGCACTAGTGACAAATAATTGATTGTCTAAAGTCGAAGCAGTCAAAACTATCATCGTTCAAGCTTGATTCACTAGCACAGAGCGCATTGAAATTTGTTTAATTGTTCCAAAAAGATTAGACTAACAGTTTGGTGAGATCAAAGGTGTGGTGTGTGTTTTGAGTCGCCTTCAAGGAGCCAAATTACCATGTCAGCTATTCACTGACAGCAGCTGATAACAGTGGCATGATCAATCAACCGACCAGCACTGACGATCGCCAAAGTTAGTGTCCTTCTCAGGACAATGCGCTGCCTCTTGACAAATTATTGTGACTTGACTAAGAAGTAATCCCTACCTCCGCATTTGACCAGAACTAGCCATGTCAGATTGCAATGTTTAGTTTTGAAAAACACTATGAATCAGGAAGTTTCGCCAACGATGATGACGAAACATCGAACCCTGTTGAGTACATTGTTGATACGATTCAGATTTTCTATGGATGCAAAATCAAAACGTTGCTAAAAAGGTAGCAAAAGACAGACAAATAACCCACAGTTATTTACTTTGTACTCGTATGGAATAATTTGGCTTTATTAGGCACTACATAACAATGACTTTACGATGATTTTAATTTTTATTTAAACCCTTAAAATTGGTTTGACATTTTAACTAGCCAAAGCGTAGTTATTTTAGCTGTAATAGTGGCACACTTAAAAAATGCCTTTTGCTGATTACCATTATACGTTTCCATATTGTCCTAATAACAATTCCTTTGAGTATATTCTTAAATGTGTCCGATAGCATCATACAGCGGATCATTGTCTCTATTTAACCCTCAGAAGAAAACCTTTATGCAAACTATTATATTTCAAATTGTGGTCCAACTAATTCAATTTAGTGGTCCCCATACATAAGACGTCCACCGTAATTACCGATTTGCTCGTGCTAGATAAAGGGCCTGTTTGGGGTGAATGATTTTTAAGAAGTGCTGTTCATGCCAAAGCACTTTTGGAATGGAAAAAAACACAAAAGCACAGAGGATCTGAAATCTCATCTCTAAAGAATTTACTTTATTTAAGACATTTTGTGGCTCTTAGGGATGCTGGAGGTGATGTAGAAAGTAGGCAGGAAAGAATTTGATTGGAGTTTTTCGATGCAGAAAAATGTGCAGCTTTGACGTCGTGCTAAGTGAACGCTGTCAGATTTCTTAAGGGAAGGCCAACTTCGATGTAAACTTGCAGGAGCGTCCGGGAAAAAATTCCCAATCACTTAATGAGTAAAAACCCAGTCCACATTGTTAGTTTTGAACGCTTCCTCCACCCTCATTAGTCACTTAGTTGATTTTGAATTATTTCAATTTTTAAGGCCTTGTGACACGAATCATGTCTTATTTAAATATAGGGCTTGTCTTATTTTTATGATATGCAGTCTCTGCAAAATTGCACAGACCGGAAAAAATACTGCATGTTGGAATGCATACACAAAGCCATTTTAATGTGAATAGTTTAAAAGGGAAAACTTTGCGGTCTTCTGTTGTGTGAAAGAGATACAATTCAAGGCTAGCTCGACAACGTTTTTGCCTAGCGGTGTGGAGCAGGCGTCGTAGACAGTTTCCCCTAACGTTTGTATTTTTATTTTCCCCTCGATCAAGACAGAATTTTATAAACCATTGTCTGCGTTTAGTACACTTCATTTTTTTCCTAGTCGATTCTAATTTCACAAGTTTTAGCACAAATTTCCTGCCTTCAGTTCTCGTTAACAGTCAAGCAAAAATGGAAATCTAAGCAAAAAGCTGTCTTGTCAGGCTACATTACGAAAATTGTTCAAAAGGTCTCAAGATTGGCGCCGCCAATCTTTATTGCAAAATTAAATCATTTTTACTAAATGTGCAAGTGATTGAAACAAACTGAATTAGATACACGATGGTATGGTTTCCGTTATCTAACTTTCGTCTTAGTTTCCTAATTCAAGAGAATAGATTTCCCTGGTTTCGTGATAGTATTATGCCGATAAAAGACTTGACTACAGATAAGTTTTATAACTTGGAAAATTAAAATGCAGCAAATAACCCTTTTACCCTGCGAAAATATTGATACCGGCTGAATGAGGTAAATTCAGAGGCTTCCTTTCAATAATACCTTAACGAGTGCTACCCATTAAACCACGTAGCTGAATGCTATTTCAAACTACGTATCCACACTAAAGGCATCGATAAACTCCTGACTCTTCAGTCACTGGATCCACTTATTTATGGCCTCTTATTCAATACCCTTTAGGCCGGAAGTTTTGATCAGCAAGAATTATTTGTAAGCAGTTGCTTTCATACTTGAACAATGTGAACGACGATGCTTTTGTTCCTACCGGCCCATTCTATAGTTCCAAAAAAGCAGTTTCAAGACAGTGTTTTCGTTGTCCACCTGTCCAGGCTTCCGATCTCCAGTAAAATGTTATTGCACAATACGTATCTGAATTTTGTTTACTATATCTTACCTGCAACTTGTTGGCACACGAAGCAGAGATAATGATGATATTTGTTTTTAGTTTGTATAATTACATGTTTGTTCAATATATCTATTGCTATTTAATCCACTGCCGACGTTTGTAAAGTTTCGACCATACGAATACATGTGGTGTGGGAAAGACTAAGTTTTAATTTCAAAATAAATTATTTAAAAACAAACGTCCTAAGCATTGTATTACAATGTTGGTTGAAAATCAAAATTGCCGATTCTTTTAATTCTTTATGTTAATCCTGACGCAACAACACGCGTTATAGTTATGATTATCGTCTGTGGTAATGCATAAGAGAACAGTTCAAATCAAAGTCAAGTCACAAAATGGGTTAGTTTAGGTGTGTTAAGGCAACAGCGGAAAGTCAGGCTACTAATTTGCCTGCAGACCACTCACTGACAGTGTGTGCACAACAACTTGACTCGCGTCCTCCTTTTTTAAAGTTGGCTGGCCAGACAACATTCACACTTCCTTAGCACGCCCTACGAGTCGCTTTAAAATGCAACTAATAGGGTAGCAAGACATCACCTGGCGAATCGTAAACATTACCTGTGATTACTTAAACTATGTGCACCAGGACTTACTTTTTGTTGTACAGGATCGTTGAAAAGCAAAAGCAATCGGTTTCTTGTTATAGTTAGAATGTTTGATGCAAAATAAAGTCAATGACAACATATTTAAGCTCGGAATATAGGGTGACTTATTCCTTGTTGAAACGTTAGCTGTACAAATCCAATGTTTCTGTTTGTTTCGGTGGCTGTATTAGAAGGTAGCTAAGTGTGTGTGCGCTTCTCAATGCGCTTGCCTCCCTTTGAGTCCTGAATTTGGACTAACGACTGACAGCCGACATGTACACGAGTTCGGATATGTCGCGCCTTCGATGTTTCTTAGTTGCTAACAGTTTTGATTGAATGACTTTACCGATGTTACTAATCTTCGCCTACATCCATTGGAATAGACTTAAGTTTACCTACACTGTGCTTATCGCTTTGTGTTTTTGCGTTATTTCATGTTTCATTGTTGACTATCAGTGAACTTGATTCTATTCTTCGCGGACTTATGAGGGACTGAGGATGACGTTTCCCGCTAGTGGTTGTGTGCCCGTCACTTTGTATTTGCAACTATGATTTGGGTGTCTTCATTCGGCCTCAAAAGCGTTGGCAAACATGAAGTGGCTTACATAAATGTACCAGGCTTAATAGCGCATATTTTCACCCGTGAATATAAGCTCAGATTGCCGTATGACCTACTTTTTGCTCTAACTTGTAAACCTTCTTTTAAGAAAAGTGGTAGGATTTATCAGGACAAGGTCTTACTTCCACTGTGATTCCCGATGCTGTAGGTGGCTGCACATGGCTTGAACCACCACCTCTTTCAAAGTCCGAAGGTGGCCCAATCCTCCTGTTGCAGCAGCACGTACCACCGACGGAGGATCAGGCTAGCCAGTCGCACAATTTGCGCCCTCGTCTCGACACCATAGTGCAACCCAGTATTTCTTGTAAAAATCCTTCGCACGTGTGCGTTTATGAAGACGACTTTTGCCAATGTAGGCTTTCGAGATTCTGTTTAATTTATTTGACACTGGGCTCCACTTGGCAAACTCTCGAATTTCGAGTGCGTTGATTAGATTATATCCTAGTTGTGGCTGCTACCTTTTGTGAAAGAAGACATTGTATACGAGAATAATCATCGTGGCCTTTAATGGTGTCACTTTGATTAGTGGTTTCTGAACAGATACTACCTTCCTGGAAACGGAAAAATTTCCTCCCTTAAAACACATTTTAACTAGAAACTAGTTATTTAACTACACCGTTGTTTCTGCGGGAAATTCCCTTTAAAATTCCTACCTCCTATTGCCGATTAGAAAGGGCTTAATAAAAGGTGCAGCTTTGTTCTGTTTTATGAACGGATCGCAAGACTACACGCAAGGCACACAGCACCCATGCGTCTCAGTGGTTTGCTTTGCCAAGTTCTTTTTCAGGTTGTCTTAAACAGCATTTTTTCCCACTTTTAATCTTGCAAATATATGTGTCCTATTAAGATGAAATCAGGCCATAAACCGTTTCACAAGATTTATGTTCAGCTCCAGGAGTACTTAATTATTTCTCTAAAATTTCTCAAGCTAACCTCCAATGCATTTTATCAGAACTTACACTTTGACAAAATGTTTCTGGTAATAGTATCTTAAACTGCCCATTTAAAAGTGGTGCGTTGATCCACTGTTTGATTCAACCATCCGCATTCCTTCTCCGAGTGAACACGACAGTCTTTTATCTTCTAAGTTGTGCTAAGGCTGCATTTCTTTATGCATACACAGAATGCGTATATAAACAAGGAGAACTATGGATACGAAAAATACTGGTAAATGGATAATGGGTTAGAGGGATACATCAATACTTGGTGAAGTCACGCACGAACATATATAAAAATTGCGTTTATGCTGGCATGGTTTCAGATGCACCAAACATAAGCAATGACTTGCATAAAAGGCAACATGTGGTCATTATAAACGCGGTCCAAATGACGCTGGACCGTCTATAATCCTGCTATGATTTTCTCAGCATCACGATCTTATGATAACACTATTCGTTGAAATGTGGCATTTGTTGTTGGGGTTCGTCGTTTTGTCTTTCATGGGGAAATTTCGCGCCAGTCGTAGTTGACCAAGGCACAAAGCTAACATCCGACAATGCTGTTCCTACCTCTGTGGTAGGCTGCAGGCTTGTTCGTCTATCGGGTTCCTGAATTATTAACCCTTAGTTCAGGGAGCTTCCTCTTCCAGCTGAGCGCGCACAAGCACGTCCGCACGGTTGTCCAGTATTTAATTATTGATGAATAGTGGCATTTTAGAAAAAGTGGCTACATCCAAACTTCGGGGTTACAATTGCCGTTTTTTGCGTGATGCAGTTAACTGCTATGAATGATTCACAAAAAAATTATTATAATTCATATTTCCCACCTTATAACTTGTGCCGAGTTCCCTGGAGTGAAGCTCCAGACTGGCTAGTTTGCCGCCTATCTGCTGTTTCTATTAGCAAAAAATCTAACTTGTTCGTTCCCCTGTCTTAGCGTCACTTGGTTTTTCGACATCGCCTTAGTTATAGCGTAGGTCGATTTAATCAAAAGTTGCTAAGAAAACACACAGAAAATCAGTGCACTGTACTTGGATTACTCTGCCTTTTAACTGTTTAATGCCACATTGCTTTCATTCTTCAGACGTTCCTCTAAGAGGTGCATAAAATTGTGACGAATGCAGTAAACCAGCTATCAGCCGGGCGGCACTCGAAGCATTTGAAAAGCATTGCTGAGACTTAATAGTGAACCCACTGAATACCCGCGCTTGTCACGCATAACTTTTCATTATCGCTAGACAATAGGTCCAATCAAAAGACCACAAGCCTCCAGGAAGCCTTCCGGTTGAGAATGCAGCCTTTCATCACTCGCTCAGAGGCACGTCAGCGCTATATCAAGCTGAACGCCCAAGAACGGAGGATTCGGGCAGAGTATCATAAGGGGAGAGCACCTCTCAATCGCAACGTCCTCCCTCCCAACGAGGAGCTTCAATTGAGGAGAAATGCACCGGATCCCCTTCCCCCTTGTCCACTGAATGCTTTAACGTCATGGAATGAAACTCAATATGGCTTTGGTAGTAGGTTATACACTGGCGGGTTGCCTATTTAAATCGCGTTTGTTTTAATTGTAATTACGATTACACGCGAAGTGTGATATCACCCAAGAGTGGACGTCTAATGGTGTCATTGAAGGTAGACATTAATTATTGCAACCTTAAACCTCACTGTGAGGCTGTTTCAAATAGGAAGGTGACAAAGACGGCTAAAAATTAATATGAGGATTCTTGGAGTGCACACGTATTAATGGTCAGGTGACCTTGCACACACACTTGGATAAATGAAGCAACAAATATT